ATATGGATGGAACACAAAAGAAACATAGAGAGTGATTATAATGTAGTAATAAGTACGACATCTTTCACTGTCGATAATAACTGCCAATGAACAAACAAACAAACAAACAAACAAACAAACAAACAAACAAACAAATAAACCCCCCAAAAAACAGCAATCGAAACACCAGTAAAAAGTAAACTAACTTTAAAACTACTCCCACGTACACATAGAGCTACAGAACAATTCAGGGGGAAGCGGTAAACAAGCAAACTCACCTTAATTTACAAACCAAAAGTCGTCATTGGTAGAGAATCTAGCACGTTTAATAGCGTAAAATGTTTTAAAATTGTTATTGATATAATAATATATTTATGCGTGTACTTAAAGCCTTTATAATCTTGGCTGTTTTCACGGAGGTCTCTAGTCACTGACAAATGTATACATGTAAATGTTTTATATGATGTGGGCTAATGCCTTTCAACACTGTATAAAAGACCCATCCACCAACAACCTTGACGTCTACCTACTACTGGATATTCTACTTCTACACGAAAGATCAACACTGTTAGTGAGCGCTCCTAGTTTGTGACAGGCACAATAGGATATCAGTCAGCTCCCAGCGGTCAGCGATCACTCACGGAGGACAAGAACACAGACCACCACCACAACGTACATTTGTCTCCTATCTCCCGATATTCCCCGTGCGGTTTTTATAACAGCTCTGTGGGCTGCTGGCCCAACTGTCAGTCCCGTGGGATCAGCTGCGGCCGACCAATTAGCAAGGACTGTTCCGGTTCCGGTATCTCTCCGGCTCGAACTGGGTGAGGTAACGGACGCCGGGTGTGCGAGTGTCAGGTTAGGATAGGTAGAAGGGTAGGGATTGCTAAATAGATAGATAGATAAATAGATAGATAGATAAATAGATAGATCGATCGATCGATCGATAGATAGATAGATAGATAGATAGATAGATAGATCGATAGATCGATAGATAGATAGATAGATAGATCGATAGAGAGAGAGAGAGTGAGAGAGAGAGGGAGAGAGAGAGAGACAGAGACAGAGAGAGAGAGAGAGAGACAGAGAGAGAGAGACAGAGA